CTCGTTGAGAAGACGATTTGAAGACCCCCTGGCTGATCGCAAAGCCCGTGAAAGAATAACAACGATGAGGCAGGGCAAACGCCCAGTGGCTGAGTATACACAAGAATTCCGAGCCATTGCCAGCAAACTGAATTGGCCAGAAGACATCCTCCTTGGCCGTTTCAAAGACGGACTAAACTATGATCTATATGATGCTTGCCTGCCCCGAGGAGACCCACATCGACTTGAGGAATGGTACGTCTTGGCAGAGGAAGCAGAGATCGACATATTGAAGAGGCATCGCCGAGGAAAACAATGGAGCCGCCCCCCGCCTGAGCTGACACACCAACCGGTGAAATCATCGGATACAGCCAAGAAGCAGATGGGGTGTTTCAAGTGCGGAAGAGAAGGGCATCGAGCTGTAGAATGCCGCTCAAAGGCCCCCCAGCACAACCCAGACAGATCCCCAATCAACAAACCCAGAGGGTATTCAGCTAAGCCAAAAGAAACAGCCATGAAAATGATGGAAATTGCAGAAAACCCCACCTCTGCTCACCAAGGGGAAAGAACTCCAGCCTACACCACAGGGACGGTGGATGCCTCAGATGACAGCTCGGAAGGCGAACCCCTGGTAAGTGGACGCATCACACCCATCTTCAAAACAGTGACTATATTAATCCCCCCCATGCCCGAAGCTGTGAAGGTGAAAGCCTTAATAGACTCTGGCTGCACCCGCTGCCTCATTAGCCCAACACTAGTGGGGAATCTGGGCATCCCATCCAGGAGACTGGAACAACCAATCTCATTTGGCCAGCTAGATGGATCCATAGCAGGGGGGGTGCCAGCTACCCTAGCCACTCTGCCAATACACCTCTCCCTGGGCAACCATGAAGAGGACTTAACGTTTGTGGTGACCCCAGGTATGGAATGCCCAATGATTCTAGGGATGGAATGGTTGAAAAAATGGAACCCCTGGGTAAATTGGAGGACGACAGAAATCAAATTCCCGAAGGGGGACCCTATGGACTTAAAACCCCAAGAGAGGCTACCAGAATCAAGAATAGAAAAAGCATCCATAGGAGAGGAAAAAAGATTAACAGAAATACCAGAGGAATATAGGGACCTTGCTGAAGTCTTCAGTGAGGAGAGGGCGAATGAGCTTCCCCCCCACCGACCCACAGACTGTACCATTGAATTCAAGCCTGGGGCAAAACTCCCGAAACCCAGATTATACTCCATGAGCCCAAAGGAGAAGGAGGAAATGGAAAGATTTATAAAAAAAAACCTGGAGAGAGGTTTCATTGAACCAGCTAAGCCTAAAGTGGCTGCCCCGGTCCTTTTTAGAGAGAAGAAGGATGGCTCTTTACGTTTATGCGTGGATTATAGGGCCCTGAACACAATCAGTGAAAGCAACCTATACCCGCTGCCCCTCATGAAAGACATGCTGTCACACCTATCGAAAGGGAAAATTTTTTCTAAACTAGACTTAAGGGAAGCTTACTATCGCGTGAGAATCAAGGAAGGGGACGAATGGAAGACTGCATTTAACTGCCCCATGGGGTGCTATCAATTCAAAGTCTTGCCATTTGGATTACAAGGGGGCCCTGCAGTCTTTATGCAATTAATCAATGACGTTCTAAGGGAGCACCTGTTTAAGGGGGTCCTTGTTTACTTGGACGACATTCTTATCTTTACCGAAACAAAAGAAGAACACGTCAAACTTGTCAGAGCGGTTTTAAAGAAGCTGCGAGCCGCTCACCTATATGCCAAACTCTCAAAATGCGAATTCCACCAGGAAAGGATAGACTACCTAGGCTATCGCATATCCCCACAGGGCATTGAAATGGACCCAGAGAAGGTCAGAGCAGTATTAGAATGGGCACCACCCCGCACAAGAAAGCAACTACAAAGTTTCCTGGGCTTTGCAAATTTTTACCGCCAATTCATCCCCTCATTTGCACAGATAGCCTTGCCCCTCACCAACTTACTAAAAACGAAGGGAACATCCTCAGTAAAACCTAGCCAGCCACTAACATGGACAATGGAGTGCCAAGCAGCGTTTGAGAGACTAAAGAGACTTTTTTCTGCCGAACCAGTACTAAGGCACCCAGATATGGACAAGCCCTTCATAATACAGGCAGATGCAAGTGATGTGGCAGTGGGGGCTGTGCTATTACAAGAAAATGATGATGCAGTATTGCAACCCTGTGCATATACATCTAAGAAACTCACGGAAACAGAACAGCGCTGGCCCGTATGGGAGAAGGAGGCTTATGGGATACGTTGGGCATTACTCACGTGGCGACAGTTCCTGGAAGGCAACAAAATCCCCTTCCAGGTATGGACTGATCACAAAAATTTAGAAGCCCTGAAAACTTCCAGGAAACTCAATCCCAAACAAGCCCGCTGGTCCCAGCATTTTCACCAATTCCAATTTAAGCTCAAACATTTACCAGGAAGAAAGAACTTCCTGGCAGATGCACTATCTCGCATGCCCCAATATAACAGCGCACGAACCACAGACTCTAGACCAATAATGGCAGAATCACAACTGGCAGCGCCAGTAACCACAAGAACCCAAGCCAAAATAAAACCACAACTGGACAGCCAAACTGGGATTGAATTCAGAAAAAGTTTGGAAACAGATGATTGGTTCCAGAAAAACAAACATGTGTGCACAATGAGAGACGGATTGCCTTGGGTAGGGGAAAAGTTATATATACCAACAACTCAAAGACTAACTTTCATGCAACTTTGCCATGACACAAAATCAGCAGGGCATTTTGGATTTGTAAAAACTTTACACTTAATTAAACGGCAATTTTGGTGGCCATCAATAAAAAAGGACATAGAAAGTTATGTTGCCAGCTGCCCAACCTGTGCATCAGCAAAGAGGTTGCAAGGGAAATCGCCAGGGCTGTTACAACCAGTGGCAAGTCCCTCAGCCCCCTGGAGGGAAATAGCCATGGATTTTATAGTGGAATTGCCTGAAAGCAATGGGAATACTGTTATCTGGACAGTCACGGACCTATTTTCCAAACAGGTGCACTTTATCCCTTGCCAAAAAATTCCCACTGCAAAGGCCTTAGCAAAACTTTTTATCCAGCACATTTACAGATTGCACGGGGCACCCCAACGCATCATCTCTGATAGGGGAGTGCAATTTACGTCTACATTTTGGAAGGAATTTTTATCCCTCTTAGGGACCACTCAGGGACTGACATCTAGCCATCACCCTCAGACAGATGGACAAGCGGAACGCTGCCAGTCGGTACTTGAGCAATATTTGAGATGTTTTTTAAATTTCCAACAGAGTGATTGGACGGACTTACTTCCTTTTGCAGAAGTTGCCTACAATAATGCAGTCCACTCCAGCACAGGCTACACTCCTTTTCAAATAGCCAACGGCCAAAGTTTCAACCCTATGCCAGAGTTAACCCCAAAAGAACCAACGATCCCTTCACTGAAAGAATGGATGGAAAACCTACAAAACACCTGGCCAATAGTCAGAAAATCACTAGATGAAGCTAGGCGGGCATACAAAGCACAAGCCGATAAAAAAAGGGTTGAGCCTACACCATTCATTATAGGAGAAATGGTGTACTTATCTACAAAATACCTAAAGTCCCTACAGCCCTGTAAAAAACTTGGACCAAAATATATAGGACCTTTTCCAATTAAAAGGATCATAAATCCAGTAACAGTAGAATTAGAATTACCCAAAAACCTCAGGCAAATACACCCAGTTTTTCATTGCAGCTTGCTGAAAAGAGAGCATCAGTCACCTCTACGGCCAAAAATCCCCCCCCCACCACCTCCAATCATGGTGGAGGGGGAACAACACTTCGAAATCACAAAGAGATCCACTCTAGGAGATATCGTGGAACAACTCAGTACCTAGTTGCCTGGAAACACCTCCCTTGCCTCACAAAATGAGTGGGTCCATAAACGTCACGTCAGAGCCCCGAAGCGATTGAAGAAGTTTCACACAGAGTATCCTAAAAGCCTAACCTGTACTTGTGTTTTCTTTCAGGTGGATCTCTCTTATTGTTAAGAGGGGCCGGATGTCAGAATCCAATTATATTTCATCTTTAATTATCAAACATAGAAACTCCCAATTCTGCCTTCTCTGGATTCTGCCATAAGAGGGAGAAAAGGGGGAGAGCAAGGCTTTAGGGCCCTCACTTCCTTCAGCACACTTCAAAGGACTGAATGTGTGTTTATTGTGGCCTCTAAGCTTTAACATATCAAAGAAGAGTAATTGCCTTTCATGTAGTTATCTGAAGTATCCATCCAGACGGAAGAAGAAAGGGGATGGAATTGTGATACTTGAAGAGGTGGGACTACTGGGGAGGAAACCCCAAGTCCTGTCTAGCATGCCTGCAACCATTTTCTCTTAATAAAGGATTCCTGTTGGAAGAGCTATTCCAAGAGTTCTGTCTTCTTAAGATGGGGTGGGTCCTTACATTACTTCTGTTTCTTTTTTCACCTATTGGATTAGTTATATGGGAAATGAAAGTTTCTAATGTATTCTTTGGGTCAACGTGCTCTGAGACCTTCACTGATATATGGCCAAAGTTAATCATGATTGCTTGTGATAGAGGGATGGAAAACTAATAAATCAGATGTAGAAATGTTGTATGGATGGATTTTGGATAGTTGTCACTGGATATGCAAACATTTAAGACACTTATAGTCTAGGAATCCAGACGGGAGGAATTTTCCCAAACAAATGTAGCTATTTGTAACAGGGGATGCAAATTTAATCCTATGATGAGCATATAATTTTTCTATAGTACTAATCAGTGTAGTCTGAATTATTTAAAAGTGACCTGTATTGTTCATGTGTTTCTTGATAAATATAGTCAAACATATATATCTAATTCCTAAGCTATTTTGGCCAGGATCATCACTGATCAACAATCAGTAAGGAAAACTACTAAAATCAATTCCCGTATAAAGTAGCTGTCTTTAACTTTAACAATGTCTCTCTCTTGCACATTTCTTTTGTTGGCTCTTAGGTTATAGGTGAAAAAACTGGCAAAACCAGTAAACCTGACATCTGCTGAGCTTTGCTACTAAGAAGTAAGATCATTGCATTTATTTTATTTGTTTATAAATAAATACTATTTATAAATACTAGTATAAAACTTACTGTTCCTATTACTAAAATCCTCCCTCTATTTTATGTCACTGCAGGCACCCAAGATGTGTCAACATATAACAAATTATACACATCAACAGACTGCCCTTGGATTGTGTTGGAATAAAAAAGAATATGCTATTTAACTAAATCTGCCTCTCTTGTGGACTGGGGACAAGATGAAACAATTTCATGGAAAGAAATCAGAAAAGGAACTGGCCACAGACAAAGACATCCAAGCTTAAGGTTGTTCTGGCCAATATCTTGTCCAAATTTGTGTTTTCATTATTTCTCAGAATAGGTGAGAAAGGTGTAACAATAAAATGGTCAAAGTAGATCACTCTGATCTATAAAATGTAGATTACAATTAAAGTTTTCCAAGAGAGTAGCAGCCAAGGAGTAAATCAATACTAAAATTGGAATCATACAATGTTCTCTTTTCAGTATGAAGAAGCCTATACTCCTTATGAGAATTTTAGAGTACAAATAATATTGCAAAAGATAATTAGTAAAAAAAAAACCTAAAGTTGTTATTGACTATATGAAGTGGTCCTATTTTTCTAGTGAAACATTGGATTTAGGATTGACTGGAGAGGAGGGAGTAAGTTGTAAGGCAACAGAATCAAGCCTGGTACATGATTTTTCTCCAAATATTGATTAGAGCAGTGGTTCTCAACCTGTGGGTCGGGACCCCATTTGGGGTCGAACGACCATTTCACGGGGGTCACCAAACAACGCAGTCCGCCATTTTTTCCCCTTTTCCTTAGCTGTGCTACTCCCTTTTATTCTATTGGCTTTTGAAAGACAATAGAATAGACTCTCTTGAATAGAGTCTAATTCTATTGGCTTTCAAAAGCCAATAGGAATTGTCCAGGCTGTCTCTGCCCTGCTGAGTCCGCCAAAAGTCCCGTTCTGCAAACGGTGCTGCACCAGTTGAGTAGTCCTCGACTTACGACCAGTTGAGTAGTCCTCGACTTACGACTGGTTGGGGGTCGCGGCATTAAAAAGGTTGAGAACCACTGGATTAGAGTGTCTAAACTGAGACATCCATAGAGTTTGAAGTCCAATTGAAATGTTCTCCTCACCTCTGTTATCTCCATTTACCCAGCAATCAAATGAACATCTCACTGACCTTTGGCCCAGGTATTCCCACTCCCCTTTGTCCAGGAGGTCCTGGTGGTCCTCGTGCTCCTTGTTCTCCCTAATAGAAAGAAATTAGACAGGAATTATAATCACATACATTTATGAATGGGAAGGAAGGAAGGAAGGAAGGAAGGAAGGAAGGAAGGAAGGAGATAGAAGATAAGGGCAATCTCATTGCAATCTCATAAATCAAACATGATTTCAAAGCAAATTGTATTAGAAGTAATATGTGGCATTTCGTTCAAAAAAGCAAAGCCAAATATTTCATGTAATCTGCAATTTCTGTTTCTTGTGATTTAGAGCAAGGCTTGGCAACTTTAAGACATGTGGATTTCAACTCCTAGAATTCCTCACCCAGCAGCACTTCATAAGGCATCTTCCATCAATAAAACAAATAGGAATTGGATAATTCATATCTAAAATTCTTTCAGCACTAACATTGTCTCTTATCTGGAAACTTTCCAAAAAATTTCATCTGCAAAATTTGTCAGGAATTGGGGATCTAATACTGGATTTCCCCTTCTGAAAGCAGAGCTGTGATATGATAGAAAACTGAGCCTTTAGACCAAGGGTGTCAAACTCGCGACGTCACGTGACGTCGCGCAACGTATTGGGCCGGTTTTGCCATTGCCGGCAATGGGGTAGGCGCAGCTTTAGTATGATGAAACCGGTCTGCGGCCCGGCAGCTTGACACCCCTGCCTTAGACTGCCATACCAAGCCTCAGAGGCAACGTTCTCTGGAAAAAACATGCTTAATTTATTTTTATTTAATTTCAAAAAGTGTATGCTGCACTTCAAAACCAGGTTTTCCAAAGGTATAAGTACAAGGCTGGGATATTGCCATATGCAGCCATACACCACAGATACCTTGGGAAACAGTTTTCAAAAGATGAAGATCTTGGATCCAAGAAGGTAACTTTGCAAGCAATGAACCTCATATGTAATATAATAGCCTTATTCTGGTTTTAGCTCTTTTAACTTTTGGAAAAGTAAATTCCAATATTTGGAACATGGAAATATGCCGCGTGGTGGCCGAATTCAGTTAAAACTCTAACCAAAATAAAATGAAACAAATTATTTATTATAGAAATGATTTCCAAATGGTTTGCACTATCTCTACATTCTCTCCAGATGCTTCATATACTACTATAGCTACATTAATGCTTCATAGTAGCTATTCCCTACTCTATATATTTCCTCTATGTTTCTTTTGTGGATGTTCTGTCTGTTCCTTCCCCATTTTTGTTTAATCCAGTGTTTCTCAACTTTAGGGACTTTAAGACCTGTAGATTTCAACTTTCAGAATTCCCTAGAGAGCATGACAGGATAGGGAGTTGAAGTCCACACATCTTAAATTCCTGAGGTTGAAAAACACTTGTTGAAACCAAATTAGTAATGGAGAGAGGGGCCCAGTACCCAGTCCTCTGTGTTATTTCATCACTTCAAACCACGTTTCTCCCACACAGAGACTTTTCATGTGCTAGAAAACTCATGATAAAGAAAATAGCAGGAGCAGGATTTGGAGTAATTAAAACTGTCTGCAGTATGTATTATCTCTATACGGTAGTTCTTTTAATGCTTCAAAAAAAAATGAAAGGATATACTACTTCAAAAGAATTTAGCACTGTGACAGCTGGTGATATAGTTTCGATTGCTGAATTTACTTTAATTCCATTTTTCTACGTTATACACAGTCTGCAATACATGCTGATACTGACCAATTTAAGCTAAATACTTTCCATATTGAAATTAGGGATCTGCAATATGATATCATGGTAACAACGTGACCACAGACACTTCCTTTAGGGCTTCCTTTGCTCCCATTTCACTTTTTTAATTGATTTTTGAGTTAAAATATGAAATAAGTAACTGTCATGCTCATTCACAACAAAGCAGTATCTCTAGTATCATTTCCACTTATCAGAATTTCCTTGGACTTGACAATATGCAGCCCAGAATTTTTCATGGAGGTGAGCCCACTGTCCAGCATTATCCCACCATGAACACACAAAGAGGAGCTAACATGGTAGAAAACACAGAGAGGCATTTGGGTGTAGAATTGTTTCTCAAACTCACTGCTTTAAGATGAATGGAGTTCAACTCCCAGAATCCTCTAGTCAGTGAGGGAGAATTCTCAGAATTTCCATCCAAAATTCTGGGAACTGAAAGCCACCTGTCTTAAAGTTGCCAAGTTTGAGAAGCCTTGGTGTAGCAGTTAAGCAGTGGTATATAAATCAGGAAACTATGAATGCTAGACCTCTCCTTGGCATGAAAACTAGCTGAGTGACTTTGGGCCACTCTCTCTCTTAGCCCAATCCTTCTCACAGGGTGGTTGTTGTGAGGAGAAGAAGTGAGAGTATTAGGTATGAGTGATACACACATACACAAACCTTGAATGATACACACACACAAACACACACACACACACACACACACACACTCTAACCCTAACATAACTCCAGAGAAAGCTAATTTCAAGTAGCTTTAGTAAAGACACACAATTAGAATTAGCATTAAATATAGATAGTTCTCAATTTACAACCATTTATTTAGTGAACGTTCAGAATTACAATGGCACTGAAAAAAAGTGACTTACAACCTGTGCTTGCACTTACAACTGTCACAACATCATCACGGTCACATGATCAAAATTTGGGCACTTGACAACTGACACGTATTTATGATGCTTGTCATGTCTACAAAAACAAATGACTGCCATTTGTTATTTTCCCAGCTGGCCTCCAACAAACAAGTAGGAAGCTGGAGTCACTTAACAACCATATGATTCATTTAGCAGTTATTGTGATTTGCTTAACAACCACAGCAAAAAAAGTTATTAAATTGGGTATGACTCACTTAACAACTGTCTCACTTAGTGATGGATGTTTCAGTCCCAATTGTGGCCATAAGTCAAGGACTACCTGTATTTGTGTTGAGATTCTCAGTGTGCTAAATATTACCAGTAGGGGGAGCCAAATGATTCCTAAATTACTCAGATAATTTTGCATCTGAAGACATTTGTGGAGTAGCCAAGAACGAGCACACACGGTGCATTTTAAACTACAATTCTATGAATTCATGCTTGGGAGAAGCTGCTTTCCATTGACGTATCTCAAAATCAGTATAAATGAGTTTAGGCTGCTTACTATTATATTTTCCCAGCAACTTTGCACCAATCTCTTGCATAATGTATATCCCTTTTGTGTCTCTTAAGACTGTTTTGCATGGCACGAGTCTCTGCTCCCTGGATCTATAAATGTAGCTAAAGTAAAGTCATGACTCAATAGCATTCACATCTGCGAACAAAAGAATTCCACTAACAACCCCCTTGGACATTGAACTATCTTTGCCAGAACTCTTGGAAAAACAGAAGTTCTGATCCATTTCTTGTGTCTCTACCATTCTGTTATTTTATATATATAGTCATTTGCACAAAGATTCCTCTCATTCCATAAGCAGGGCAGTAAAAGGAGGATGGGAATCAGATGGAGCAAAACATCATTCCCATTTTGCATGGCAGAACCAGCCAAATCTGGCAGGTTCAGCCTCTTAACTAGATTTGATAGATCTGATCGACCATGGTTCCTCGAAAGTAAAACCTACCCCGAAAATAAGTCCTAGTTTTGGGGTAATGCGCATATGGGGGTGGGGGTGGATCTGCCCCATGTGCCCTGCACTCACTTAGCTTTGCAGCCAGTCTCCCATGAATTGACATCTGCCTCGCCCACTTCTTCTGCGGCACCCCCAACCCATCCTTCATTTTGCCATAAGAGGCCTTTCCAGAAGGCCACTGATGGCAAAATGCAGGCCAGGGAGGATTGCCATGTGCAGTATTCCATGTGTGGCCTTACCAGCGTGTATAATATATATAATAATAAAATTTCTAGGCCACCCAACTCCAAAAGGCTGAATGGCTTACATACAAGAGCTATAAAATCAACAATCAATGGTTTGCCCGTAGGGAACAGAAGCCAAACTTTCTCCTCCACCATCAGACACAAAACAGACAAAAACAAGCAATGATGGTAGTGTTTTGAATGCTTTATAATAAAGAAACAAAATAGCAGTATTTAAAATAAATAAGATAACAGTATAGTAGATACATTTATAATGCATGTATAGATGCATGTAATTGCATATAGTTATCAGAAAAATTATGTAGCTGGGCCAAAACTTTAAAATTCCACCCACTGCATTCCATATTGCCAGCCTCACTATTAGCATTAGAGGTTGAAGAACCCTGGTTCTTATGCTTTTCACACATTAGATCCTAAGCCAGTGGTTCTCAACCTGTGGGTCGGGACTCCATTTGGGGTTGAACGACCATTTCACGGGGGTCGCCAAACAACGCAGTCCGCCATTTTTTCCCCCTTTTCCTTAGCTGTGCTACTCCCTTTTATTCTATTGGCTTTTGAAAGCCAATAGAATAGACTCTCTTGACCGGTTGAGTAGTCCTCGACTTGCGACCGGTTGGGGGTCGCGGCATTAAAAAGGTTGAGAACCATTGTCCTAAGCCCTCTAAGTTATCCAACAGACTTAGATGCAGCAGAGAACATTCCATTGTAATCACTGGTCTGTCTCTTCTGGTAGCAACATATTCTGAGCCAGTCCAGCAATCCTGAATAGTTAGTAACCGTGAGATTAGTAGGATGCCTGGAGTGAGAAACAGCCAGTCTGCTCTTTTTGGGAGTTCAGCCAGAACCTGAGAGGTCACAATTTAAAAAGGCATTCTTTCAGCAGCTGGCCTAGTGTATCTCCTAGGGACGATGTTGGTGGTATAGGTCTTTGATCTGCTTTACAGGCAGAATACTTTAGAGCCTCTGCCACTGCTGTGCTATTTAAGCTGCAATTCCTTGAAAATTATGCATTTTATTTTCGCTTGTGATTACAACTATGCTCCTTTACTGTGTAATGTCTCAACAACAAGGCGGTGCCCATATAGTTCATGCATCCCACAGGCAATTTGGTGTGAATTGAATCTCTGTTACAACAAATTCCAGTTCTCTGCTGGATATATGTGTGAGCCATTTCTCAAGCCAAGAAAACAGAGCCCCAACTGATCTTCAAGGAACATTCTTACACTGCAAAATTTAGAGGCATTCCAGCTTGACTTGTATGCAAATTTATTAATGGGGGCTTTTTAGTTAAACAAAGCTGTTTTATGTATCTGGGGATTAAAGCAGTGCAGTTTAAATTAGCAATTGGGGTCGTATCAAAAAAGATTTCATCCTTGCACAATGCCAATAATGAGAGAAGAAAAACAATGTCTTTGTGGAAAAAAGAATAGTAATAAGTATAATATATTAATATTGGGTACTATTTTATGGACGAAAATATCCATAGTGCTATCTTTATGAGGAAAGCAAAATGAGATGTTGACAGCTTTTAAATTTTGCAGAAATTAAATTTATCAAAATACTGCAAAATCAGGGGATAGGGAAGCAATATTAAAGTCTAAAACCCAGACTGGATGCTTCAGCTATGTGCTATGCAGTTTAAATTCAGTAATCCTGATATAAAAAGTGTTGCCACTAGTGACTAAAGCCTACGTACAGTGAGGCCACTAGTGTTGCTGCCCTAGCAATATGGAGTACTCCTTTCAGAGAAGCAATTGGGGATTCCTAGGCAATATTCTAATACAATATTTTCCAAACTTGGCAACTTTAAGATGCATGGATTTCAGCCCCTATAATTCCTCCGCCCGACAGTTAGTCCTATAACTCTGGATACAGCTTCCTGCCTACTTTCTGAATGTAGGGTACCTTCAAAGGCAGAGCTAAATAGAAGAAAGCCTGCCCTTACATGTTCTTCTCCATGCAGAAGGAGACAATCACTCTCTGTCTTCTCACGCATGAGAGGAAAAACACTCTGTCTTTCTGAAGACAACAAGGAAAGACCTATGCGAGGCATTTGATCAAGGCTGACTCAGACTTCTATCCTTCTGAGGAATATGTATTGGATATGTTCATCACCTTGAGCTATTTGTAAAAATAATAGAGGTGGGATACAAACAAACAAAAAAATAAATAAAAACAAGCAGGAACCCTCTCTTCCACACCACACTGGGGTGAATTTGAGTGTAGTTTTCTGCCCATGTCTACCTCAAAGAGGAAGAATAATCCACGAGCAAAATAAAGAGTTAATTAGTAATGATGGCAAGGGAGAAGAGACTTTACATAAGATTGATAAGATTAAGCTCTTATGCCAGTGTTTTTTCTGGTCAGTAATACGAGACAGGAAGAAAATGATGTGGCATAGAAATCTCTAGATTTCTTATATCCATAGATTCATGCCATTTCCAATATCAGATATTAAATGATATGATGAGAAATATAGCCCTGAGGTTCAGGAAGGTCAAAATAGGCAGTGCCGGGCTATGAGGGCAAACAAACCAATATGACTCGTGCAAAAGACATCCCATGTCTTCTTCCTGTCCTTCCCTCCTTTTCTCCCTCTCTTTCTTGCAATTATGCTATATTCTAGTTTCAAAGGCGAAAGATTTTGTGCTTTAGCTTAGTGTTTCTCAATCTTGGCCAACTACAAGATGTGTGAACTTCAGTTCCCAGAATATCTCAGTCTGACTGGGGAATTCTAGGAAGTCCACACATCTTAAAATATCCAGAAACACTGCTTTAGCTCCTTGGTAGAGATCATAGATCAAACTGTTCACATAATTGCAATAACACTTAATACAACTTCGCTCCTCCACTAGGTAACCTGTTCCTTCATACAGGGGCTTTCTTTATACCACAATGTGTGTAGTGCTTTTTAATGTGTATTAATATCAACAGCTTTCCTTAATGTGAATCCTATTCATACAGCCAAAGGCAAATCACATTTGAGAGAATGTTCTGAATTACAAGAACATGACAACTTAAAATAGAGACAGAGTTTATTCTCAAACTTAAGGCTTGCAAAAATATCAAAATCTATTCAGAACTTTTTGATTTTTTCTAAAATTTGCTGAGAACTTCACTTGTGGCGCCAATTACATGGAAGTAAATGGTAGCTATACAAATGCAATTTGTGTTTGTCAACACAAATAACAGCAAGTCTTTCCTGCATATAATTAGCAGTTCTAATTCTCCAAATGGCATGATACTGTTAGAATGTTAATTTGACACAAAGAAATGTAGAAATCCATCCAAATATTACAAGCGGATTAAAGCCAAACTAATAATAATAATGTTGGAAGGTACCTTGGAGGTTATCTAGTCCAACCCCCTGCTTTACATCTGCCAAAAAATGCTGTAGGACAATTTTTCTCAATCTTAGCAACTCCAAAATGTGTAGATTTTAATTCCCAGATTCTGGGAGTTGAAGTCCATGCATCTTAGAGTTGCTCAGATTGAGAAATACTGCTGTGGAAAAGATGCTTTCTCAAAACAATACTGAAATGTATAAAGACATATACTTCAAAAGTAAATAAGACCACTGCATCTGCACCTTTTGTCCCGGATCACCGGCTCCTTTAAGGCCTCTTGGTCCTGGAAAGCCAGGCAATCCTTGAGGTCCCTAGCAGAGTTAAAGAAACAGACAAGCAAATCAGCTTTACAGAACAATAGAAAATAGAGGTGGAGCAGTGGTGGAATTCAGCTGGTTCACACCACTTCGGCAGAACTGTAGCTATTTTTTTGTTGCCCAGGCCCAGAATGGACTTCTGGAAGCGGCATCCACACAGAGAACCAGTTGTTCACATATTTGAACCCCACCACTGGGGTGGGATTAGGTCTTGCATGAGTGTCTGTTTCCTTGAATTGGAGAAGGAGACATTTGCAAGTAGAAGATTCCAAATTCAATTCCTGGTGTCTCCAGGAAAATCTGGGGGAAAGCCTGAAATTCTGGGGAGAGAGGACTAAGAGCAACATTTTTGACCTAGGGGTTCCCACTTAACACCAAGACCTAATATGCGTTGTTTCTTTTTGTTTAACACAATGTGCACACCAAGCAACTTTTACTTTTTCAATAACAAACCATGATTAAAAATCATTGATCAGTATTATATGTGTTCACAACCTGTATAAGGCTATAATATAAGCTTCTTATATTATTTATTTGTTTGTTTGTATTTAAAACATTAATAATCCTTAAATGCCAGACAAGAACATATAAGTGAAATTACACTTACTGATGGACCTGGAAAACCATCCCCTTTGGCCCCAGGCGGTCCGGCAGGTCCAATAACACCTGGAGCACCCTGAACACAAATCATAAGCATTAATATAAATTCTCTTCATTAACACTGAGATGTTATTGGAATAGAATAGAGCTGGAAGGGACTTTGGAGGTCTTCTAGCCCAGCCCCCTGCTCAAGCAGAAGAACCTACATCATTTCAGACAAGTGACTATCTACTCTTTTCTTTAAAATCTCCAGTGATGGAGTGCCCATGATTTCTGGAGGCAAGCTGTTCCACTGGTTGATTGTCCTCACTGTCAGGAAGTTTCTCCTTAATTCCAGGTTGCTTCTCTCTTTGATCAGTTTCCAAACTTTGTTTCTTGTCTTGCCCTCTGGTGCTTTGGTGAATAACATGACCCCCTCATCTTTGTGGCAATCCGTCAAATACTGGAATACTGCTATCATGTCTCCCCTATTTATTCTTTTATTTAGACTAGCCAAACCTAAGTCCTGCTTTTCTGTGAACTTTTCCAAAGTCTCAACATCTTTTTTGTAGTATGGTGACCAAAATTGGTTGCAGTATCCAGATGTTGTCTTACTAGGGCTTTATAAAGTGATACTAATACTTCACATGTTATAGTTCCGTCGGCAGTATATTATGTCATAGCATACCAAATTGTGCCTCTGTATGGAGTACAAATGAAGGAAAGTGTAAAACCTCTTATTGAACAATGCTATTAGGAAAAGTACATAAGATTCTGATGCAATGTGCATTCTTGAATCTGAGAATGAACAACCATGTATGGCATTGAACTAATAGTTGCAATAAAATTACAAAATAGTTACAATAAAGTGTTACAATAAAGTGTATCAAAAGTGTCACCTCCAGAATCCTGTCAAATGTTGCTGCCAAATTATGTTAATGGTATTTTGAGGAATAAAATAATTAAATATCAACCTGCCTCCAGAAGTGGTGAATGCTCCAACACTGGACAGAAGAGACTGGACAGCCATTTGTCTGAAATGGTATAGGATTTCCTGCCTGAGCAGGGGGTTGGACTAGATGACCTCCAAGGTCCCTCCCAACTTTATTATTATTATTATTATTATTATTATTATTATTATTATTATTATTATTATTATATCAACTATGCTAAATTTAATAAAGTTTGCTTCCTGTATTTAAATTACATTACATCACATTTAGTTTTTGTCCTATTCTTGCTTTCATTTTGAAGACACATTACTCATTAAAAACAATGGTAGAACACTGGAAAAGACAGACAGAGAAAGCCAAAATTCATATTGAATGTACCAAAGGATCCTCTGGAATGCTGCCAATCTTTCATATATCAAATACTTTCTTGGTGAAAAATTTAAGGGCAAGATCTCTGTATTCTGACTTCCAAGTTCTTGTATAAGACAGAGTTGCCAAACATATGGTTTTATTTTATGAACATCCTATTCTTAAAAACTGACTATTTTGTCCAATAACTTCCTCCTGAGATTAGAAGAACAATTTTTCGGAAATGGTACTTTTAATTTCTCCAGCACAAGGTCAGAATCCTCACTGAATGTAGATAGTCATTTCTAGTGTGCAAGTTCAAAGGTTTAAATGTTCCATTTTTCTACATCTTTGCAAATAGAGCTATTGTGTTCTCATGCAATAGAGCATATGCACTATGTCTTACTATAGTGCAATATAAGGACTTTATGCACCATGTCTTACTATAGTGCAATATAAGGACTTATCTTAATCATGCTTCTTTTAAAAGCTTCCCAAGTAGAGAATAATATAGATCTTATTTGTCCTGGCAGAGTGTGGCACCAAAACTGCATATGAAATAACTGAATTTTGTTTAGTAGCTATGAGGGCAAGTTTTCAGTCTCTGTCTGACAAAGAAGAATACCTATCAAATTCACTGAATCTGCTAATGTCTGCTAATGCAGGTCTAAGATAATAATAAATAACATACATATTTGAAATTAGGCATTAAGGATGGAAAGATATTTTTCTCAGGTATTCATTTTAATTTTATTTCATTCATTAGCATATTGGTCTATGATTTTTGTTAAACACACACACACACACACATATTCAAAAATACAAGAGAATCCAAGTTGTAAAACAACAGGTATGAATGTCTATGAGAAATTGGAAGCTAAGTTAATCAATATTGATGGAAGAACCTGAGTGAATAAGAACTCTGAAAGTTTGATCTGCTTTCTAGCTTTACTGTATTATTTATTTTATTCTTATACTGAGATTATTCTGAATAAAAAAATGTTTTAGACTTAAATCATATGCTGCATCAGCCTGGTAAATAATTCAGAAACTTCATGAAACTAAACTTCTAAACTTCATTCTTTAGTGCTTAGGAATAGGAGAGTAGGATTGCAAATTTTGAAACAGAGTACTGTATATAACTAAGCAAGTAGATATTAGAAAATAGAAATCTAAAATATAATATGAAAAAGAAGGGAGAAAAAGATACCAGATATTAACCAGAAATTAATTAAGAAGAATATTTTGAGAGGAAGCCCTTGTGTTTTCTTTTTTTTCCTTACTGATCTTAAGCCATATTGATTTATTTATTACCTTAGGTCCCACAATTGTATGTCCAGGGTTTCCATCATTTCCAGGAGGGCCTGGGTATCCTTGTTCACCCTAAACAATACAAATATGAATAAATTAAAATAATCACATTACGTTTAATTTTTTTTAAGAAAATGACAACTTCAGGTGTTGATCTGAATAATTTTGACGAGCAGTTATATTTCAAACTATGACTAGGACAAGATCCATCCACCAAATATGACAATTCCAAAACTACAAATAAAAAGAATTTATTTCATATGTTCTATACATCTCTGCTGCTTGCATACACTAATCCTGCTTTAAGGTACAATGTTACAGGTTCTGTGCAGATTTTAAGCATTTAAAATACTTTAGGTACTTGTGCCTCAAACTAGTCTTAATGAGCATTTAGTTTGATATTTAAGAGTGCCTTGCACTGTGATAGATTTAGTTAGCCACATACTAATCTTTATGTTCCCTTGCATCCATTAATTTTTATTCTGCCTTCCTATCTTTTCATCTGTTGTCTTCACATACATGTTATATATGAAATATAACAATGAAAAAATGCTTGTGTCGAATCTAACAATTATTTGGTGAATGGCCACTGTCAAAAATGTAATTGTCACTATTGTACCTTGTATATTGCATTTCTCTTAAATTCTTCTTCATTATTTTTCCCTTTCTTGCATTCTATATATGGTGCTCTATCAGAAAAATGAGCCATGCATTTGGTGAAGGGGACTTTAATTTCTTAAAACATGTGCCATTATACAGCTTTTTTTCCCAGGTGAGGGATCCTTTGTGGTATCTGAGCTTGGTTGTTTTCTTGAGACATTGTTAATCTCTTCTTGAGACATGATGTTAGTTTGGTTAATGAAATGTCTGCAAGAAAACAAACAAACACCAAGGACTCCTCATGTCAACCCTGAACTATAAATATTCTCCTTTTTTGGAATTTTTAAAAGCATCAACATTTTTTTTGCTGTAGTCTACTAATGGCTATTCTTTTGGCAATTCCTGTTTTCAGATGCAATGGTATGAGGGAATGTCCTTGAGAGACAGGGAGGAGAGGTGCATGTAAAAAAAGTCTCAACCAACAGAAGAAGCACGAGTGTGGGAAAGGGCCACTTCATAGTTTTCAGAGGGATACTCCCTAGTTTTCTTCAGAGTAAAAAGAAAGAGAAAAATATTTCCTACTTGGCAAGGTTCTGTTACTGTACTTACAATAAAAATAAAGTTAATATTCCTGTTTGTGCTTCTTGCCTGCACTTCCCTGAAGGTCTAACATCAGATAAGTAGTCTTCCTATTAACAGTCAATAGCTTATATACCTTGGGGCCAGGTAGCCCACGTACTGAAGGTCCTGGAAAACCAATGTCACCTTTGATTCCAGATTCTCCCTAAAAGAACAAAATCTGTTTATGTATTTGTATATCAACACATTTTTTTATTTGTATTTTAAATACTCAATGAAAAGAAAACTCTCTTTTTCAGTTCTCTATAGACTCTTTTTATAAGTGCAGAAATAAGTCAGTTGATATTACAGGGGCCTTAACTCATATTTCAAACATACTATAAAATCTATAAAAAACATGCAGATTCAAAGATAAATACAGCTTTTAGAAAGATGACTATGCTCATATAATATCTGACTACAGTTCCTGGGTCTTTTTCTGGGAAAAGCATGACACTAAGAAAAGCAGAAGCTGCAGACAATTTCTGATAATGCACTCTGAAATATCTTTTAACCTTTAAATCCAAATCACATGTAGCCCTAAAGTCAGTGGAACTCAATTTATCATAATTGTCAGGTTTCATGTTATAAATTACTTTATTATAAATACCATTGAATTAGAATATTAAGCAGAATATTACAAATGATCTCAAAATTCTAGATAAAAACATTTAGATTGCAGTTATTCCTCTTCTTCCTTAGACTTATTTGAAAGCAGCTAACATTTAACACATATTTAATTCCATATTTTCCTTTTTGTTAATTCATAAATTAAGAAAATCATTTGTAGGATATGTATTAGTGATATCCTGTCTATAAGACTTTGATCTTTGATCTTACTTTGAAGTTCATGAGTTTTTGAAATGGTTGAACTAGTATCCAGATTATTCTAAACAACTATAATGATAGCAGTGGAATTCACCAGACTTTCATGATTTGCTAATCAATATATGATCTTGCCTTTTCCAGCAAGATGTTTTCCAGATATGCTAGACTATAACTTACATTCCCCAATAGACATGCTATCTTTGATCATTGAGGCTATCTAATAACTGCATTATATGAATTGTGTTTAATAATCTGCATGCAGAATACTGAATGTCATTATACAATAACAATTGAGAAATGTACCTAACACACCTTTGGTCCTGGAGGGCCTGGAATACCTCGTGGTCCATCTAATCCTTGGACACCTTTCTGACCATCTTCACCCTGATATATATATTATTTTTTTTAAAAAAGCAATATTAACATACAGAGGTTTCCACCTAATCTACCTAAATTGACAACTTTCATTTAGGAATATTTTTAGAATAAAGTTATGCTATGGGGGCAAAAAGCAGTGAATATGTGATGGAGGCTTTAGAGGCTTAAATTCCAGATGTTTTCCATGTTCAAATATTAAAAAGGGCCCAACTTCTTAAGCAAACTATTTTGCTAGTTTCATGAATCTGTTTCAAGATATTGCTCCTTTGCCCTGCACCTGAAGCCTGCATAGAATCTAAGAAAACCTAATACATTTAAATCTCTTCTTTCTTCATGTAGTTCAACATCTAAAACAAGAAATACAGTAAAATCTGCTTTACATTCAGCTTGACTCTTGTTACTTTTATGGGCATTAATAGTAATATAGAAGTTGTTTGCCATCACTTTTTTCCATTTATTTTTAAGATCATGGCTCAGCAACTTTATCACTATCCCCTTGCTTAATAGTCTGCTTGATATAGAATCAATGAACTCAAGTTGTTACATATGAAGTATGATAGATATTTGGTAGATTTTTTCATGCACAATATGACTTCCTTAGCTTTTGAATTAAATTTGTGACCTGTGAATTATAATCACAGGTCATAATTTGGCAACTAAGGTTTGCACAGAATAACCCTATCCCTCAGATGATACTCTACATTATAATTATCTTGAAAAAGCCTTGTAAGAAAATCAATAACAAAGGATTTTTTTTCTCTCTCCAAGTCCAACAGATATGGAAAAAAGTCAGCAAGCCATATCTGAGCTGCAACTTGGAGATTCTTTTAAATGACAGCACCTTTTTTCTGTCATCTCAGTTCAAATACGATGATTGCAATTTTTTGTTCACAAGTTTTTTTATATGAGCTATATTGAAAATATTTAAACTTGGAAGCATATTTGAAAAAGCATCATCTTGGATAAAAATATACTACTGCATATGGCTTGATTCTTCAAGAATTTTTATTTCTCTGCTCTACTACTTAATTATAAAATAAATAAATTAAATCATACCTTTGGACCCAAGTCCCCTTTCCCTGGAATTCCCTCTGGGCCTCTTGGACCAGATGGTCCTTGTTCTCCCTATTATCAACAAAAGTAAGGTATTAATTCCATTCAGCACTATAAATATATTCTGTATTATATCAAAAACAAACAAAACACATCTGAAACAACAACTCAAACATGAAAAATTTAGTAGCTTTAACATAATAATTCAAAATATAAAAAGTGCAAGTGTCTAAAGCATTCACTCTATTTTTTTTTTAAAAAGTATGAGAATGGAGGTGTGAGATTTAAGTGACCTAAATATATTCATAACAGTTTATTCTTCTTAGTATAAATTTGTGACAGCATAGAGAATAGAGTACTCCTTATTGCTTAAGGCCCAAATTATATTTTAAAAAAGCAGCTCATTAGGGTCTTTTATATTCAATCCATCCCATTTATGTGCAAGTGTGGGGTGATGTCCATGTGCTGCAAAGAGTCAAAAGGGTATGCAAGCAAGAACACTGAAGCCTCAACTGGCATTCCACTCCAGCCACTTTTCTTGGTTCTTTTCTCTAGGTCAGACTGATTTCCAATATCATAGTTTTATTCAGAAAGGTAATGTAATGGTCTGTAGATATAAGCAATAAACAATAAACTTCCTGTCTTCCACATGTACGGCCATTTAGCTTTTCCAGTTATCTTCCATCCTTGGTTCCCTACTTTCATAGGTCAAACTCTACGGTCTCATTATAATTGCATATAACTGGCTCATATCCCAACACATTTTTGACAGATAAAGGGAATGTGAAAAGGCCCCCACAGGATGCTATGGCTGATCTACAGGACCACATCCATATTCTCATTATTATAAATACACATAATATGGTAGTGTGGATAAAAAAATACAACTAGAACTTGATCTCTCTAAAGCTGCATGAGTGGGCAAAATTGGTGGGGAAGAAAGAAGTGTTAACTGAAACTTTTTGTTTTAGGAAAGGATCTGCAGGATCTTTCAGATATAAGCCATCAATGGAGCAAATAGAAATGTACCCCCTCCCTATTTCCTTAGTACTCCTCTTGTACATGAACAAGCATGGTAGATTCCCAACTTCTTCTTGCTTCAAACACATAATGATGATGATGATGATGATGACAGGGGCATAGGGACATGAAGGGATGCCTTTCCCTCATTCACTTGATGGATCTGCAACCTGTCTTGAACCCACATATATTAAACAAACAAATCAATTACCTTTTTTCCTGGTATTCCTTGTATTCCTGGTTTCCCACTTTCTCCTGGAAATCCTGATCTTCCCGGGTCTCCCTTTAAAAGAATCATTTTTTAAATGCTTTTTTTTTTAAAAAAAGTTCAACAGATTTGCATTGTTTGGGGAGGATGATTACTTCCATTCTAATTCTTTAAATATGTGAAATTCGGTTAATAACTTTTGCTTTTATCTTGAATGAAAGTGAGTACATTAACTTACTTAGATATTGTCAGATATTGAATCATCAATAGTTTTGTGTTTTGCCAATATTGAGAAATATTTGTGTGCTATATAACAAATATTCCTACTGCATTCAAAGAATTGTCCCCTTGGATAATGCAGTTTCCAGAATCACAGCTCATAGGGAAGTTTCAAGTCTTCATTTCATTAAACAAAAATTAAATTTTAGATTTATGAGTGCAAAACAGGCTCACTTTAGGTCCAGGCTGCCCAGTTCCTGGTGCTCCTATATCTCCTTTTTGTCCAGATGGTCCCAATTCTCCCTTGTAAAAATAAAAAATATTAATGAATAAATATTTCCCAATAACTTATAATTCATACACTATCTATTTATAGACATAAACAGATGCACAATTTTTTTCATGTAAAGAATAGAGCATTCACTTTGCATGTTGCCTTCTCAAGTTTAAACTGACTCAACTCTCATTACTAGATGTGGAAAAGCATCCTCTCACTCACTGCTTCATTCCTCTGCTAAAGTGTTTCTCTCCAGATTTTGGTGTTGCCACACATATCTAAGGCAGAAGTGTAGAAAAGCGATGGGTGGGTTTCTGGTTGACAGGAAAACATTTACTAGCTGTTGAGCTTTAAGGAGGAGACAAGTTTTGATAGATAATCAAAGCTGGTCACAAGTTATTCCACTTGTCTATCAAGCACAGGAAATCAGGTTTAATATGTTTATTTAAAAGCTTAAGATCTCTATAACAGTGGTTCTCAACCTGTGGGTCGGGACCCCATTTGGGGTCAAATGACCATTTCACGGGGGTCGCCAAACAACGCAGTCCGCCATTTTTTCCCCCTTTTCCTTAGCTGTGCTACTCCCTTTTATTCAATTGGCTTTTGAAAGCCAACAGAATAGATTCTCTTGAATAGAGTCTAATTCTATTGGCTTTCAAAAGCCAATAGGAATTGTCCAGGCTGTCTCTGCCCTGCTGAGCCCGCCAAAAGTCCCATTCTGCAAACGGTGCTGCACCAGTTGAGTAGTCCTCGACTTACGACCGGTTGAGTAGTCCTCAACTTACGACCGGTTGGGGGTCGCGGCATTAAAAAGATTGAGAAGCACTGCTCTATAAGAATCTGAACTACTAACAGTCAAAGCAAATTGATGGTAGATAGGAGCCAATGAATTCAGGTGAGTTGGACTTAGATCTCTTGTGGGCATGAAGGGATTTGAGACTGATGATGTGTTTGACCCCTTCCTTGGGCTCAGCCTAGTCATTTCCTGCATGTCTTTGCATGTATGATTCTAAACCAATGCCTGAATTACAAGAGATAGATGGATATGATGAGAACTGGAGAGAATGGAATGAGTGGGAGGAATTTCTTTTAATTACTCCATATGGCAATGCAATCCAGATATCACAGTGAATCAGGAGCCAGAGAAGATGGAAAGGGAAATGGGGGAGTAGCTCTTTAGCATCTCCTCTACCTATACTTCTGACAGACATATTTCAGATAAACCTTAACCTTTTTAACAAGAGAGGCAAGAAAAATGGAGAAAGATGCCTTTTTGATAAACGAAAGAAGTGGGCCTAAAGTAGAATAGCCCTGGAAAATAATGGCCAGGGAACAGAATAAAAAAAAATGTGTCCACAACAGCAGAAATGTCTTACAGGAGCTGACTAGAACCTAGCATCACCAGCATCATGCTGGAGGCATTGACATCATTTAGATGGCGAGGCATGTACTGGGGGGGGAACCCTTTACTTCCAAACTATAATAGCTAACTTCAAATGGGCATTCCTAATTCATGCAAGTCATCTGATATTCATATTTTTACTAAATTATTGTTTGAATGTTTAAACTATCTTTACTGATGTTATATGGATCACCTGCAATTTTTTTTATACTTCTGTGCTTTCTTTAATGTTGTTAATTGCCAATTATATTATAGGAAATTGTTGGGATTGAAATGGTTTAAATATATTTAGCAAAGTAATAATCCTGACATGTCATTATCTATGTTGTAGTGGAGTTAAATGCATACCACAAAAACTTCTTTTATGCTTTATTATTATTATTAAATTATTACAATCTTCCTAGTTGTAAATTACATATACTGTATTGTATCTACTGCATTTTGACCATTAGCCTGAAATTATTTATTGCAAAATATATTTATTTACTTCATGGGTCCATTTTGGGCCTTTTGAAATGAGCCCTTAAAACCTGACCACATCCCCAGGCTCTTGATTAGAACAGGCAATAGATATCTTATGAGATGTTTTTATCTTTTAATTGATTGTTGATTTTCTCTGGACATTACTTTTTGATTATATACTCTGTTTATTTATTGTGCTTTTATTGTTGTATTTTGTAAATGCACCAGAGTTCTAACAGATTGTTATCAGCCTATAAATTTAATATATGCATACCTTTGGTCCAGGCAGTCCTATTCCTCGTGACCCCTTCACACCAGGAGCACCTTTTAGCCCTTGAATACCCTGAAAATATAATTTTTCAATTGGCTAAACTTGCTCTTCCTCGGGTATCAACTATATTGACAGAATGGACAGTCATCATATAATAAAGAAAGAAAATTGATTCACAAATATTTGGTAACTTCTCCTTCAAAATGCAAGCTTAAACATCCTTTTATTTATCGTTGAAGATTAACTACACATCCCATAATTTCTATTACAAATGACATATTTTTGAATTTCATAATATCTATCCACAATTTTTTATGCAGTTATAGCAGCATCAGACTTTCTTGGACAAATATTAATGTGCTGGAACCAAATAATTTGAAGAATATTACTTCTAGACCATAAAACTACTATATTGGCAATTTGTGGGCCCAATCCAGATTTGTCCAGTCTGGCTGGTACAAGGTTGAAGGCCTCAGCATCTTTTATAGCACTTAGCAATAGCACTTAGACTTATATACCACTTCATAGTGCTTTACAGCCCTCTCTAAGCAGTCTACAAAATCAGCATATTGTCCCCAATAATCTGGGACAATCCTCATTTTACTAACCTCAGAAAGATGGAAGGCTGAGTCAATCTTGAGCCGGTCAGAATTAAACTCCTGGCAGTCAGCAATTAGCCTGCAATACTGCATTGTAGCCACTGTACCATCACGGCTTATGTCACATCTTATCTCACATCTAAGCTTAACTGCTATCTTGACATACTAAGAATTGAACCTAAGAATTGGTGCATGTAATGCATGCATTCCACCTTTAATTTACAATGAATTAAAACTCAAGGGATTGGTTTGGACAAAACTCAGCAGCACTTTTTCGTGCAGCTGCTGATAAAAACAGGATCGCCAACATGATTGTCAATGTCCAATAACGGATATGGCACAAGAAGAAGAAGAAGAAAAGATACTAGGTTGTGAGACCTCTTTAAAGTAATCCAGATTTAGAGTTACTGATGGATGAAAGTTTCTCCTAGTTTTTAAATCAACACTAATGTTTATCCAATGTTAGAGTGTTTGTCTTGATTTTAGAGATCATTCACATTTATATACAGAAGCAAATTTTAATTTTCTGCACGAGGAGCAAACTGTAAGCATTTTATTTAGATTTGCAAATAAACTCAGACATACATTAAGTTACAAAAAATATAATTGACTGTAATTGAATAAAAGCATGTAAACTAGACTGGTCCTATTCAACTATAGATCTAAGAGTTTTAGAACAATTCATTGCACTCCAATAAACATCCAAAATCAATTTGTTTACTTTTGATGATACCTATAGCTATTCTTAATGTTTGCTATAAATTATATCAAGAAATATAAATTGTTACATTTCTTTAATAAATTTATATTAAGAAATATAAATTGTTATGAAAAGATACATTGTTTTCATTCTTAAAATGACAGTGCTGTAGCCCAATGATGAAATGCCAGTTCTGCATACATTGCTTCCCTGGTTCAATCCCAGATTTCTTTTGGGAGGCTTGGAGAACTGCAGTCCGAAACCCTGGGAAAAATCTGGGTAATTATGTCACCAATACAAAGGCAGATGGACCAAGAGTCTGACTTGATATAAGGCAGCTTGTATATTGATTGGTTTTGCTTTAACATTAAGCCTGCCTCTTTTTGGGGAAACAGTACAAAATTAAAGGTCTATAAACCTGCTGGGCAAATCTAATTTGCTTGGAGTTCTTAAGACACTGTGACTTAAATCAATACCCTGGAATTATAAATTAACCTGCAGATATGCAAATAGTCCATGGTCACATATTGTAGATGTCTTCCACAGACAAATTTGTAATATTTAGGGCAGGATGGATTGTGAGGTGATGGGACCAAATGAGATGTTACCTGATTTCCTTGGATGCCAGTTCCAGGTGGTCCCATTGGGCCCTGCACTCCTTCCAACCCTCGTTCACCCTATATGAAAAAATTATTGCTTTAATTGAAGTATCACCATCATGATGTTAGGTTCAAATTTGAAAGTCACGTGCATTCTGATTGCAGTAGTTTACAAAGTATTAAAAAGGAACATAACTGTGCTGAGTGGGAAAGAGTAATGAGAGAAGAACAATTTGGAAAATAATGAGACTATGTGACAAGGCAGCAATATTGTAATTATCTCATGTTAATTAATGTTGCAACATCCATGGGAAAATTCCAGATGGCAGTTGTGGCAACATGATCAAAAATCTTGCCTTTTTGTATGTGCATAAAACACTGTATGTTGCATATGCAAAAGTGAAAGAGTATCAGTTACAATGTGAGACCACCATCTTGACTTTGCCTCTAAGCAACATCACAGCTTAATAAGTTGTTCTCTAAACCAGGAGTGTCAAACTCGCAACATCACATGACGTGTCGCAACGTATCACAACTTTTTTTTTCATTGCCGGCAATGGGGTGGGCGCAGTTTCAGCATGACGCATCTTTGAATTTATTGTTTTTCCTTTAATTCTTCTCAGGCATTTTTCATGTGGCAGATTCACTGCTGGTGGTTCAGCAGTATTGCATTCTGTTTATACAGTCAATTGTATAGGGTACCTTATCTCCTTTGATGGATAGGCCTGGGGCTCCAACTGGTCCAGCAGGTCCCTCAGAACCTTTATCTCCCTGGAAAGATTTGTTAAGATTTTCTGAGTTGATTCAGGACCGTACTTAACATTTACCACAGAAGGATAGTTGATTAAATTACCTTTGAACAGCCAGACTAGCAAGGACCAGGTTTTTGGTACAGGTAGCCCTCAACTTATGACCACAAATGAGCCCAAAATTTCTGTTTTTAAGTGAGACATTTGTTAAGTGAGTTTTGCCCCATTTTACGATTTTTTTTGTCACAGTTGTTAAGCAAATTATTGCAGTTGATAAGTTAGTAGCCTGGTTGTTAAATGAGCCTAGCTTCCCCATTGATTTTGTTTGTCAGAAGGTCACAAAAGATGACCACAGGATCTTGGGACATTGCAACTGGCATAAATATGAACCAGTTGCCAAACATCTGAATTTTGATCACATGATCATGGGGGTGCTGCAAAGATCGTAACTGGGAAAAATGGTCAGAAGTCACATTTTTCAGTGCCATTATAACTTTGAATGGTCACTAAACGAACTGTTGTAAGTCAAGGACTACCTGTATAAAGTTTATGACTTAAACCAATGGTTCTCAACTTTTTCTTTACCATGTCCCCTTTAAATATCTTTATTGTCATGGACCATGGCCATAAACCCCCAAAATTTAAGATTTAAATCATAGTAATTTTTTCAAGCATTTACACACACCCTGTGACAACTTCACCTTCCCATATGCATGTATAGTAAAATGAATTGGTTTCAATCTAATTCTTGCTAAATTTTGTCATTAGAGTTCCCTCAATTAAATATGAATAAATTGTAAATTGGAGAGGAAAAGCCTGTAGAAAAACAAATGAGCAATCTCAATCAGCAGGAGGTCATGAATCTTCCAGTGTATATTGGTCAGTACAGGATACATGTGGGAAGAGGAAATAAATATTGCTTTAATTCCCACAATTAAATCATTATTTTTAAACTTCTTTGTTACTTAGTAGCTCCACATATTTTACTTCCAAAAGCTGGTAATGCTCCATAAAAATATAAATGTCCATGGAGATTCATTATAACATTCCTTGGGTCCCATTATTCAAATTCAAGGTTGAATGAAACAAAAAGTCTGGGAAAACATAAGAAAGCTAGGGATGTTCAGGATAGAAATGTTTGTTGGTTTCACTGGAAAAGACTTTAAATGATTACTAGTTATGGTACTATGCAGAAAACATACACATTTTTTCCTGTCAAATGTCACTCAATATGATGTGAATGAATTTGCTGGTCTATTTTCTTCCTATGAAGAAGATCAGTGATACCAGCATGGATAGAAAGCAGTAGGTGATTTTTATTTAATTACAGAATCCTTATTTTCATTGTAAAAGCTCAAGTGACCTGCAGTCTCCTAGCTTCCATTAAATTTTAAAGAAATATGGGGAAACCATTCCTTCTGAACTTCTTTCGAATAGAAAAGCTTAGGGATCCAGGGAGGTTTTAGAGTAATAGATAGATATACAACAGAAAATAACAATACCAGTAGCAGTTCCATGTGCATTTGCAATGGGTGGGCCAAGAGAGCCCAAAATGATGGTTTGAACTAAGATATATACTATGCTGACATATGTACAAAAGGGTAGGGCGTTGACCCACAATTATGCTCACCATTTAGACTTGCTCGACCCTTAGCACAGAAACCTCTGAGTGGCACTCTCTGTTGCCCTTCTCACACTAAAATAGGCACAATACAGCCCAAGAGAAATCCTTAAACACTAAAATAAAAAAATAATAAAAGCCTTCTTCACCATTGATAAAAACTGAGAAATTGCAAGGTAGACATTGGAAAAATAATGCCACAAATCTGCTATGAGAAAACCCATTCCTCTGAATTTCTGCTGAAAAACATGAGTGCAAAGGCACTATTGTCTACTTCTTTGTAGGCATCAGGCTGGTTACTTGAAAAAGTATTTTAGCATAGCTCCTGAACTACTTTCAGTACTTTTTAAAGCCATTCAGGTTGAGTTTTTGGTCATCACTATGTTTTATGGAAAACAAACATTTAAGTATACATTACTTGCAGAAATTCCCTTTATCTGTTTAAGCCCCCTGTTATTCACTTAAATACTGTAGGTGAACTGATTTCTAAAAATATGCATAAAGCTGAAAAACGTATCCCTAATTACTTGTTCCGTACATCATTTTTATACCTCTAGGAAGCCCTGTGTCTTTACTCAACTTTACTCAACAAAATGTAATAAGGCTTCCATCAGACTGAAGAATTGTCATACCCATGCTGTCTAGAAAATGAAAAGGAGGAACATGTTTTCTTGCATTTCAGGGGACAAAGAAATGTTTTAAAGTTGAAAAACCTAGTGGCAAGAAGACATTGCCTGTGAACAAATTCCTAGAAAGAAATAATTAAAACAAACAAGAAATAATCACTCTGTCTAGTTGGAAGTCTATTTGTTTTAAATAGAATATTTACCTTCCGTCCTGGGAGTCCTTCCCCAGGTGGACCTCTTTCACCCTGCATTCCCTCAGGACCACGTGGCCCCTGAATTTCAAAGAAAAAAAATCTTGTGAATAGATGATACAGCTCTCATGTACACACTATTCTCTCTATATAGACCGCCTTCCTCAATGTTGTGGAATATTCCCATGACACTAAAAAAATCCTCACTGAAGACTTTGATTTTTACTTAATTTAAATTCCTTTGCTGCAAAGTATACAATTAGCTTAACTTCAAGCATACTGTTTATTTTCATTGTCTTTTTGATAAATGGCATTTTTAGGCTACCAAACAGGAGTTTTTTCCAGACTATCCATCATTTAAAATTAAATTAATACTATAAAAACAATACTATACCAGCATTAAAAATCTTCACAAAGAACAAATCTGCATAAGATCAGATCAGGCATACCAAAATAATTGCAATCAATATGGAATAGAATCATAATAAAGCATTAACAAAGTTTTAAAGTATCAAAATTGTTCTTTCGATATTTCAAAACTTTAAGACTGCATATTTGATCAATCATCTGGTATCATAATTTATTAGGCAAGGTTTTTAGAACATGTTCTCAAAATGCCAAATGCACTTACCAGACCAAACAAGTTGCTCACTCCCATTGAAGATAAAAGGGAAAACAGTAAAATTGCTATTTACATGTCAAAGTTAATTATTGTAAGATTGCCAGACAGAACACATCATTCACCATTGAGGTACTACATGTATTATTATTCATATACTTTAATTATTATTTTTAAAAATAACACATAAAAAGTGTTTAACAAAAAGGTGAAAGAAATATGACAAAGAAAAAAACCACAATTATGATACTTGTGCATCATTATAACAATAAACAGTTACAATTCTATATATACTTGTCTAATGCAAATATTAATCAAATACATATACACAAACAGTATTTCTAATAATTTATACAACTATCTTTTTTTAAAAAAAATCTACTGTATTCTGCATAAATGAGTCCCATATTTCATTATACATGTCTATATAAAGTCTATGTCTATAGGCAATCTGTTCATAAAAGGCAAGTGCAATCAGGTCTTCAACCCATGGAATAAATGGAGCCATATACTTATTTTTCCAGAGCTGCAATATATGCAATATCAGCCTTTTAGCCCTAGTAAAGGCACAGAAAATCAATCAGTGTTGTTTGGTTGTCAAAGTCCATATCCATTCTCTGAAAATGTTTTAGCTTCTATCTCATAATCATATTTATACAATTTGCTAATCCCACCTCCAAACTTGGTAAGTGTAGCAAAGCAACATTGTACAAACATGTTTTAAAGAAGTATAAATATTATTACATCTTCAGTGAACTGTTGTTTTTGACAGTCTCTTTTTATTCAAACATAATGTAGCGCAATAGCAATAGTCCTTAGACTTATATACTGCTTCATAGTGCTTTACAGCCCTCTCTAAATGGTTTACAGCATTAGGATATTGCCCCCAACAATCTCGGTCCCCAATAAATTATACATATTTATAAATTATAAACATTGTTTTTTGTTGTTTAAGTCACAATTTGAGATCCATTGAGACTTACTATAGAAGTTAAGATACTCTCCCATTGTCTAGGCAAGGGTCCCAACCACTGGACCGCAGATTGATGCCATTGGAAAAGGGCCACGCAGGATTAGATTGTGCAAGCAGTGGGCAGGCACATCAAGTTTTATTTACGCATGCAGAGGATTAGATTGTGAAACCATTCCCTCTCTCCCATTTCTGTTCCACTGCCAGTCTGCGGAGCCCAAAAGGTTGGGGACCGCTGGTCTAGACAATATAGGAACCTCTCATTTTTTATTGCACTCAAGGCTTAACATCTGCATATCCAGTTTTTTGATAGGTTTTTTAGTTTTAAAGGATTTAACAAGTTGCTTTAAAATTTTAGATGTTTCAGAACCCAAGAATGCTACTGGATATTATATTTATTAATTAACTATTCATCACAATTAGTTTAAGCTGCCTCTCAGAATTCATTGCTATCTCAAAACTTACTTTAACAATTACAAAACATAAAAATGTAATTTTTAGAAAAAATATTTACAAATTTACTTACTGTTAAGCCTGGCTCACCAATTCCAGTTGGTCCTGGAAACCCAATTCTTCCTTCTTGACCTCTATCACCCTTGTAAAATAATTTTTAAAATGACACTTGTTGTTGCTCCAAATAGATTTTCCAAGACAATTTCTCTACTAATCATTTATTGTATCATCTAGCTATTAAGGCCCATGATAATCACTGTTCTGATAGATTAGTCATGGTTGGATGACTGCAGATGATGTGGAGACTAGGGACCAGCATGGAAAGTATAATAAAGTCACACTTTTAATGTACTTCTTCAAATAAAAATATATCATAACTAAAAAATTGCTAGAATTAACGGACAGTTATTATATTATAAGCCACAGGTTATGTACTATATTGGAATATATGTAAGTGAAAAATATAATTTTCTTATGAATAAAAGATGCATTTACCATCAAAATAAGATTTGTGCCTTTATGCCATTGTTATGCCTTAATTGATCACAACTATTTCTTTAGCATTTAAGCTAAACTTTCATCTATCCATCATAACATTTCACTTTTATGACTTTCTGTATCACTATTTATACAAATATACTTCCATCAGATGTTAGTGCTGAATAAAATAAAAATAGCACAGATTAGCACTGTGTGTTGTGCATTTTCTATCAAAGAACCCCAAATCCTACCAGCTGCAGACACAGATCTTTAGCATAGTGATTTATCATAGTAAGTAATGAAAGTAATATAAACAAATTGAACTTCATTATAAGGCCTTGTTGAAATTCTTAGAATGCAAAACTTCCCAGAGAAGTAATTTTTTTTTCTAGACATTCATCAATGTCTAAATGTCTAAATCCTCCACCCCAAAATTCTTATATTAATTCTTTATCTGGGTCATCATGCAATACAAGATGGATTCCTGCTTACATCCTCCCATCAGTCTTCTCCTATTCTTAGGAACCGTGAGAGAGCTATCACAGACATCACATTTTAACTGGCATGAAAGGTTTTAGTACATTGGATAAGGAACAAGTTGCTATTATTACATTTTAGCTGTCAAACAATGAACCAACAAGATATGTGCTTGCAAGATTGCTTTGTCATATTCTGAAATAATTTGGCTGGCTTTACATCTTAGATACATTAACTTGTGAGAAAGACATCATTGATGTTTTTCCTTGCCAACAAAATGGAACTCTGGCCACTGGCTTTTTGATTGCACATGAAGAGACACATTCTAGCTCATTGTTCAGGTCAAAGAGATGTTTCAGTCTCTTCCTTTTATTCTGAAGAAATGACAAGGACACTTCCTTTGGATGGCCAGGGACAAATTTAGCTTATTAGAACCACAAATTTAGCTTTTGTGAGAACCACAGTGCGGATGATACTAAATGGCAAGATTAGAACTTTCTGGGTTCTTTTCTTTCTTTTTGTCAGGCCTATTTTCACTGTCAGGCCTATTTTCACCTGTGTTCAAAAGGTGAGAAAGCAAATCAATATGTGATTAAAAAGTAGAAATGTAAATCAATGAATGGCTAAAAACAGCTCCATTTGCCTATCCATACAAGGCAATAATATATAAATTGTCCTATCTGCAGTCTACAGAGCTGCAGTCTAACTGCATAATTGAAGTAGTGCAATAGACTTGATTGTATTACCTTAGGTCCTGGATATCCAATTCCAGGGATTCCTGCAGGACCATAAGGACCTGCTGGTCCTGGTTCTCCCTTAAAATGGATAAAAATTTAGTTATTAATTCTTTGTATCATGGAAAAATAAATGGTAAGAAATTACTTTGGGATTTTGTGTACCCCAGATTTGCAACAATGCTAACTTGATCCATTATTAATTCATCCTGATTAAAACTTCAGGCAAATTAATTAATTAAATTCATTCATTCATTCATTCAGTTTGTATAGTTGACCAGTTTAAACCAGTAACTCTGGATGGTAAACAATCATAAAACAATTAAAATAGTTAAAACACAACACAAAAGAGAAATTTAATACAAAAAACAGCTAAGAGATATTTTTTATTGAAATTTTTTTATTTTTTAAAACATACAATCATTTATAAAAATACAATAAAATTTTAAAATAGAGAACCCCCCCCCTTACCCTCCCTCCCACCCCCAACCCCCCTCCCTTCACTTCCCAGAGCAGAATACAGAGTTTAAAAAAAAGAAAATTATAATAATTAAGAAAAAAGAAAAAAAAGAGAAAAAAAATATCATAATTAACCTTTAACTCCATAACCTATAAAACAATTCTCTATAATATTTGATATTCATTCATAAAATAAATCAAACTTTTTAATTCCATACTTTTTCTGAATATAATCTATCCACCTTCCCCATACAGTAATATATCTTTCTTGTGTATGATCCTTTAAATAAGCAGAAATTTTTGCCATTTCTGCAAAACTAGATACTTTAAATATCCATTCTTCTAAAGTAGGCAAGGAATCTTTCTTCCAATATAAACCTACTAGTAACCTTGCTGCAGTTAATAAATTCAACATCAAAGTAGTTTCTTTTTCATTTAAGTCAACAAAAATACCAAGTAAAAATAGTTGAGGAATAAACTTTATCTTTTTTCTAAAAATCTTTTGAATGTTCCACCAAATCATAATCCAAAAAGCCTTTACTTTTTTACAGTTCCACCAAATATGAAAGTATGTCGCATCATTATTGCCACATCTCCAACATTTGGGCTGTATGTTGGAATACATACAAGATAATTTTTTAGGATCTAAGTGCCATCTATAAAACATTTTATAAAAATTTTCTCTCAAATTTTGAGCTTGTGTAAATTTAACATTTCTTATCCAAATTGTCTCCCATAAATCCAATGAGATCGGCTCCTGTATATTCTGAGCCCATTTAATCATACAGTCTTTAACCAATTCTGTTTCCGAATCTAACTCTAATAAAACATTGTATATTCTTTTTATATGAGCCGGACCTTGGTTTTTAATCTGAATAACCAATTGTCTATCTTCTAGTGTTATTCCCTCTTTCTTGTCTACAGTCCATCTATCCATTATTTGTAAATATTGAAACCATGACTGTAGAATATTTTGCTGCCTTAATACATCTAGGGATTTCAAATGCCAATTCGAACCAGAACAAATTAACAATTCTTTGTACGAGATTTTATCAAAATTTGTCCCCTTAGAAGTTCCCTCAATTGCATGTCTGGGAATCCCCCAGATAGGTATTTTATAATTTAATCTATAATAATACTTCTTCCAAACACGAAGTAAGGCATTCCTCAAAATATGTGATTTAAAAGTCCGATCAACTTTCTTATTAAAAATTAAATATGCATGCCAACCATATATTAAATCCCAACCTTCCAAAAAAAGAATATCCATATTTGTTAAATTAAGCCAATCACTTAACCAAGTTAGGGCAGCTGCATCATAATATAATTTCAAATTAGGTGCCTTAAGTCCCCCTCTTTCTCGAGCATCCTGTAATATCTTAAATTTAACCCTTGGTTTCTTCCCGGCCCATATAAAATTATTGATACCCTTTTGCCATTCCTCCAAATTTGCCTCTTTTTTAAGAATAGGTATCATCTGAAACAAAAAAAGAAACTTTGGTAGAACATTCATTTTTACAGCTGAAATTCTCCCCAACAATGACAATTGCAATTTTTTCCAATCTCTTAAATCCTTTTGGACTTTTGCCCATAGTGGTTCGTAATTGTTCTTATACAATTTTCCATTTGAAGCAGTTAGATATACTCCCAAGTATTTAACCTTTTTTACCATCTGAAAACCTGTGGCTTTAATCAAACTTTCCCTTTCTTTAACTGACATATTCTTAGATAATATCTTAGTCTTATAATTATTAACTTTAAAACCAGAAACATTCCCATACTGTGTTATAAGTTATAATAAACCATCAATCGCCTGATTCGGCTGTTCCAAAATTAAAACCAAATCATCCGCAAATGCCCGCAATTTATACTCATTCTTCCTTATCTTTACACCCTTAATTAACTTCAATTCCCGAATCTGAGTCAATAAAATTTCCAATGTTAAAACAAATAACAATGGGGATAATGGACATCCTTGTCTTGTCCCTTTTTGAATATTAAAATTCTCAGTCAATCCCCCATTTACAACAATTTGTGCAGATTGCTGCTGATATATAGCTTTAAGTGCATGTAAAAAATTATCCCCAAAATTCATTTTCTCTACCAAAGAAAATAAAAATTGCCAGTCCAATTGATCAAAAGCTTTTTCAGCGTCCAAAAAGATAAAAGCCACAGGAATCTGATTATTCTTATCCAAGTACTCAATTAAGTTAATAATTTGTCTAACATTATGTTTCATATATCTCCCTGTTATAAATCCTGCTTGATCACTATGAATCAAGTCTTTCATAACCTGCATTAATCTATTTGCCAAAATTTTTGTAAAGATCTTATAATCAACATTCAATAATGAAATTGGCCTATAATTCTTAGGCTCTGTAAGATCCTGATCTTCCTTCGGAATCAGTGATATAAAGGCTCTTTTCCAAGAAGGAGGAACTTGCATACCCAACAAAATACTATTAAAGAGTTCCTTTAATGGCTCTATCATTTCTTCAGATAAGATCTTATAATACCTAGAAGTCAGTCCATCTGTTCCAGGAGACTTTCCAACCTTTAACTGCTTAATAGCTAAACCAATTTCCTCCACAGTAATTAAACTATACATCCCATTTTGTTGTTCCTCTGAAAGTCTAGGAAAATGTACTGATTGTAAATATTTATCTATATCCAAACCCCTTATATTATCACTTGAATATAATTTTGTGTAAAAGTCCAAAAAGCTTTTTCTAATCAAATCTTGCTGAAAAACCTCAGTACTAAGAGATATTATAATCCATCAGTATCAACATAAGGGGCCCTTGGAATTACAAGTTCAGGGCCTTTGGAACTACAAGCATGTAGCCAGTCAGAATATTAAAACTCAACATTTTTTTTCACAACTAATGGTTTTACTCATAAATCATTCTATTGATTCTTCTGTTCCTACCTTTAATAAGATATTTTCTGCATTTATTTTTAATGTTTCCCCTGCTAGAGGAAAAAAATTTATAAGGCGATACATACTAAAAATTGCTTTCCACATGCTTCCAGATGAAATTTTCAATTGAATAATTATTCTGGGAGATTAGCCTAGATGATATTTTGCATTTATTTGCATCTGCCAATAAAGCTTCTTCCATTTTTCTTTTCTTAAAGAAGGATAAAGAGAAATCTAATGCTTTCTAACTGTCTGAACTATATAGACCAGGGGTATCAAACTCGCAACATCAAATGACGTGTCGCGACATATCGTGCTGGCAATGGAGTGGGCGCAGTTTTGCTATGATGCATCCAGCCTGTGAGCCTGCAGTTTGACACCCGTGATATAAACAAAAGCACCACCTTGTACATGCTGTTGATTACAAGTCTTATAACAAATCACCCATATATATTTATCAGCAAATTCCTGCTCTTCTGAGTTTTTTAAATTGTTTTTTAAAACATTCATTATTACTATATATCATATGTAAAATTATTATCCAGGATATTGTTATTGTAGAAAATGTATATCTCAAATAAAAAACTGTATTTATGATATAAAATCTATAATATGAACATAAGTAAAAGAGAAAAAAAACACTAAAAAATCTAAGGAGAAAAATACTAAAAAGAAAAAAGAAAAGAAGGAAATGAAAAGAAAAAATTAAACACACATACATATACACAGATGAAACAAATAAATATATACTATACAATATTGTTTCTTCTTAATTTAATGCAATAAAGTAGTGTAGAAAGGATGTAAAAATCAATTTGCATTCCAGATCCAGATTTTATCAGTATTCCTATCATTACATATTTCTTCTCTCCATACATTAAACCTATTGACTTCTAATCCTTTTCCCACTATAAACAACAAATGGGGACATTATCTGCTATTTTTGTAAGCTTAAAATCTGCAGAAATTTCAAAGCTGTACCATATTTGGTAACAATCTTTGTAAGATTTGAAGCTTAACTTTTGCAGATCAAGAACAGTACTGCTGATAACTTTGGGTCTACATATCATATATATGTATGTCTTTCCTATGATATGTGTTTATTTATATATATATGATATAATACATATAGCAAACACTGTTGCATATAAAACCTGATGTGAAAAAACAATGTAATGTATGTTAAGCTGCAATGATCATTTTCAATTGTAAAAATTTATGGTTCTCATATGTTAAATGAAGGACTGATTTTTTTTTCTCCCACATTTAGGGTGATTTGTGAATCCAGTTTGGTGGTAGAATTGTCTCTGAACAATATATTAGTTTTATTTTGCCATATCCCTTTCAGCCATATCCTTATCCTTTTATTTGTGTTGTGTTGATAGCACAGTATCTGTTTTTAGGGAGATCAATTAATTAAAGCTCTGTTCTTAATGTCTCAAAGCTTTCTCCCTACTGCTTCTTCTAGTTCTTTTTCGTGAACTTCACTGAATAATACCAGGTGGTCTGACATATTACTATCTTCCCATTCCAGGAAATACTTCCTTTCCCAAGGATTGTTTTTATGCATGAATTTTCAGTTATATGTTTATTTTCCATGGAGCAATTAATTAGGACAAAGAGCCTTTATTAAAGCTTTCACTTTAAGAAGGAATAGAAGCAAAAACAACAGAAACTGTAACAGAAAGCAAATCAACAACCA